GGTGCAGTGTTACGGATCTCAGTACACAGGTTTAGGCACATAAAAGATGTACCTTAAAGTTCTATCTCACATTTAACTCCTTGTTGGGACTATAAGTATACAAAGGGACTTGCAGATCCTGAAAGAATAACGTGGTTAGAAGAGAGGACACCCTACATATCACCAGGAATACTGTACATCTTTCCAAAACTCATGGATGAATGAGACGATCAGGCTTTTAAAAGCAAGAGATAAACCACAGCTTCACCTGGGATTGAACAGAGACTAAAACTAGCATTTGCATGTGGGATATACATGAAAGTTGAGAGAGTTTCAGGAGGTTTTTTTAATATATATATGACATATATTTGTTTATTGAAGATTGCTTAGTATATTTTACACTTAGAAGTTATAGTCAAACTGAGTTACTCTAGCTTCCCCTTCAGCCCCAACTTCTAATATTCAATTCTTGTTTAAAAGCAGTCCGGACCAAATCAGACAGACAGACAGACAGACATTTTCAGAGCAAAGATCCCTACAACAACACACCAGTTACTTACCAGAGATTTTCAGTCATCAGGACCCGTGGCCCATGGGAGGTGCCGCAACACCCAGCTTGCTTGGGATCATCACAGCAGCAAGGTTGAGGGACACTGCTCCTGTGTGGATTTCGGAAAGGTCGGGCCAACCTGTTCTCATCTCACTGCAATGGTATGGGTCAAGAAGGTCGAGAGATCCAGAATGAGCTCGGCTGCTGAGAATGCATCAAAAAGAGAGCAGTGCTGTTTAGTTGTTTGTTCTGGTTTTTAATATCTAGGCTTTGATTCATGCCTTGAGACACCACAGTATTAACTGCTCCAACAGCCCCTCATAAATGTAAACAGAAATACCAAATAGTAGTAGTCTTGACCACAACACAAATTATTCACATTCCACTTGCCTCACTTCTAGATGTCAGAGTGAGCAATTAACCTCTGCAGTTCATGCATTTACTGATTATGCAATCCACTCAAAACCTCAATGAGAGCAATGGAAAACTCAGAAACTGGGGATTTTTATACCTGAAATAATCCTGAGAACACCAAATTTGAGTTACGTAAACACTGAGTTACGTAAACATTTTTTACTTCTCCTGTTTCAGATTAAATTGTTGAAAAGCAGCATTTCTAGGAAGAAGTTATATGTACCATGCCAAGCATAAAAACCCTGCCCAAGAGGACAGATTAATGTCCTACAACATTTCCGAGCAGGGCTAGGGAACGGAGGAGGGGCTCTCATGAATCTGATACGTTGATGCCTTCCAGATATTTAAAAGCAATACGTAGACTGTTCCTGTGCCAGCTGTGTTTCTAAAGAATGCTTTATGTCTAATACAGACCACATTATTGCCATTTTAAACTAAGCTTTCACTTAATTTACATAGACTGGGACAGACTGCAGCTGTCTGTTTTTAGTGCAGTCACACTGCCTGGGATTGCAGGTCACAGTGTGTGAGGCTCTGCTACTCTTGGGGTGCAATCTTGTTTGTTTAGAAATGGAAGGAAGATCATGGGACGTACAGTTTTCCAGATCTACTCACCTTTAGGAAAAGTAATGGTCACGTCTGGCTTTAGACATGGCTAATCACCTAAGATTTGTGCCTTGCTGTTCTCTCAAGACAGAGCGCATGCTCAGCTCTGCAAGGAGACGAGAGCACCTGTGGAAGCCCTAGTACCCTCCTTCCACTGGATTCAGCCCATTAAGGTTGGATACTTTTTTGTTGCTTGACCCCTATAATAATACTATATGGAAGGGAAGTAATTTTCAGGTTCTTGGAGGGAGATGGGAGTAGCAGGTTTTGAAGTCAAAAAAAAACCCCTGAGATAAATAATGCAGTGACTTGTGCTCAGTAGCACATCCAACATACTTTTCTAGAAGACATTGTAAGATCATGGATTTGTTTCTGACATACCGGGCTACACAGATCTGGTTTCTGACTCATCCACACTTCATGTGCAAACCTAAAAAAGATATTTCATCTACCTGTGCCTCAGTTTCACACATGTCAAGTAATATTCAAGGGGGACAGAGTAGTGTTCAGAAGGCCCTCAGACCTTGTGGTCTGGAAGGAAATGGTCCAGTGCCTATCTGAAGAGCTTATGACTGTATCTGCAAAGGTCTTAGACAAGGCACCATTCAGCCTATTTGCTCTTACCTTTTATGTTCCTGATGTCCAGAGTAGAGCTGCAGTCTTAAATGAGTCATTGGATCAGAGGAAGGATGAAGTATCTGAGTGTAAGTCATACCACTGCAGCGAAGGGGAGATGAAGCTATTTCTGTAAGGAACAGGAAGGTCTTTTAGGCATCTGCTTCAGGTCTACAGGAAGCTGCAGATGTGAAATCAGGATTCCCCAGCTTTTTATACACAGCTTATTTCTTAGTGTATTCATTCAAAGTAGAAGACCAGGGCCTAAACCTCCATCCCATCCCGGGAATGGGAGAAAGGTGCACAGCTCTGCTTGGTGAAACTGGACTTTGCTAGCACCTACAGTCTCTGACCCATGGTTTGGGTATTCATCTGCAAAAATGCACCTCCCACGCATGACTGTTACATGAGTCATTAAAGCCCAGAGTGAGCCTTCTAAGAAAATAATGGGAAAGCTGGAATCCTCACCAAAGATTGTATGTAGCCCTAGCCAAGGGGTCTTGTGCCCTGTTTTGCACAGTAGCTGTGTTTGGCAGAAGCAGAGCCCAGTCTCTGCACTCTCATGTCAAGGGCATCTTCACGGGGACTGCTGTTGAACCCTCTGGAGCATGGATGTTGAATTCACTTGGTGAACACAGTAACCCATTTGGTTATTCTATTAAAGGAGAGAAGGAAAGGCCCTTTTCTGGCTCCTGGACCGGACTGCCAGGGCTGAAACATTTCTTGCTAAATTCAGCTTTATCGGCCTTTTTTAGCAGCTTGTGTTGCCTGATAGTCTTCTGGCTTCACCTATGGGACTGGGAAACTTAAGTACTGGGATGTCTAATTTCCACCTCCCGTGTAGACATCAGTAGGAGCTCCTGCCTTGAAGCTCTGTGATAGCTGTTGGTCTGGGCTCAGCTGGGAGCAAAACTGGCTCCAAAGGAGCTTTATTGTGAAAGGCTTTCTGTAACAGTGCCTCAATCACCTGGATGGGCTTTGGTGGGTGCTCTGAGACTCATTTTGATAAGGTTTTGATGCCTGAAGAGATTAGCACATGTCAGCTGAGCTGTAGTAACTGTCCATGTGTTTGCAGCTCTCTGGGTTCTGCAGCAGGGTTAGCAGTGCTGCCCATGGAGCTGAGTTATGGGAACACACTGCAGCTCCCGTGGGCTCGCTGGGACCCACTGGTGCCTGTTGACACTCACACTTCTCTGAGCTCTCACTGCAAACTGACTGAGCCTGCCCATATGAAGCTGTTGCCTTCGACATGAGGGAAATCTGCAATATATTTCACGACGGGCAGGGGAGAAGTGGACCCACTCAGCTGAAATTTTGACAACTGTAAATCTCAGAAAATCTGGGAGTAGGTTTTGTGTTAGATGGCAAAGTGAAGACTTGGCTACTTATTCATCTGTGTCCTGGCAGCAGAGGTACAAGTCAGAAACAGTGGAAGGCCGTTTTGTTTCCCCTCTGCTGTATACCATTTTGCTTTACTGAACTGGTTCATTTGACACACTTGCTTGGGACAGGCTGCTGGGGTTAACTGTTACATCCACCTCCTGACAAATGAGTGTGACATCAGAGTGACTTCAATTTTTTATAAATATCTCTTGCCAATTTGTTTAACATGTCAGCACAGACCTGGAGTTAAAACTGAAGGGGACTGAATATTACACCTTCCTTTTAAGGCTGGCATAATTTCCCTTTTACATGGAAAAGCTTCACACTTACATTTTTCACTAGTATCTACCATCACGAGCCTTAGATTTTGTCTCTTTTAAGCCTGCATCCTGTAAAACACTGTAATTGCATGCAGCTGTTTGCAAGCCATCCTCTGCAAATGGAAAGTGTGCATTGAAAAAGCACCCAAGCAGAGGACCTCCGAAATACACACTGCAAAAGCTGCTGGTTTACCAAAAAGACCCTCTTTGGTCTGCCCTCCCCTGCCCTCCTCTGCTGTTGCTACCTTGCAGTTTATGACATCCAGATAGTGGGAGGTCTGACAAACCGAACAAGGCAGCAAGCAAGAAATTCCATTCCTGTTGAAATCAGTAATTCCTCTGTGCAGGCTGCTTTTTCATGTGTGTGTGCGTGCTTTCTTTTGTGTCACTTCCAGAAGGGCTCTGATATTATTATTACTTTAAATATAGCTTGCCCTGGGGCGGGGAAATGCACAAGGAAAGAGTCGGCAAGCAGCCTATCTCTCAGAAGAAAAGAGCAAGCCTCGCAGCACAGGAACTGGCTTCACTCAAGTGTGCAGTTTAGAAGTCAAAAAACTATTCCAAATACCACCATTTTGGAGGAGGCAGAAGAAAAAAGGACACAAAACTGGCTAAACACAGTGAAGAATATGGTAAATAAGGGTACAAAGTGCACCTAATTGCGGTTTGAGAGTGAGCTCTGAAGTACAATGTAAGTCTTCCTTAAATTGTATTTTTTTTATCATAGTATCTAGTTGTTTCATTTCCATTCTGAAGCCAGGCTAGGCCAAAAGGTTCAATTATCTATAAAAATCAGCATGGAGCAGAATGTGTAATCTCTGATATGAGGCTGAAAATGATACTGAAATACAACAGAAGTCAGAGACTATCAGCCATATTATGGAAGATGAACTATAAATAAGAGCATATCTAATTATTTCAAGAGAAAGATGCTGGATGGAATCTTTAATCAACTTTCTTAATAGGGAAGCGAGAGCTCTGCTGTTTTGTATAGCAAGTTATTTTAATACTGCTGTGTTTAAAATTGTGTGATTACAGTTACCAATAGCAATAAGATGTAGCTCCAGAGGGGAGTCCTAGTGGTTGCAAAAGTTTTCCTCTTTTATTTCTCCAACATTTTTTCTCTCTGAAGCTTCAAGTCCACATTCCCTATCCTACAGCTTGGTTTTGCTTTTCAGCTGGATTTTCAATGTATGACAACACTGGACTTCCTATGGAACTGAAAACAAAACGTTTCAGCTTTCGGAGTAATTCTGGTATGTTTTTCTACATCACGCTAGTGGCACAAACACAGTCGACAAAAGATTGTGCTCCCTCAACTTCTGGCACGGACAGCTGAGGAATATAAAGCCTGATGGTGACAAAGGGTGAAAATTTCCTATTTTTCACTATTTATCTCACCAATTTTGGACTTAGCAATGGATATTCTTTGTGATGAGGAGAGCTCTGTGATCCCAACTGCAAACTCCTTAATACAAATAAATCATGAGAGAAGACTCTACAGAAATGTTTATGGAACTGGAGAGATTAATACATCACATCTCTTTAACTTGACTGTGGACTCTGAAAACCTAACCAATCTTTCGTGTGAAAGTAACATGAGTCCACCGTGCTACTCTTCCCTGTTTCAGCTTTCACAGAAAAACTGGCCAGCTTTGCTGACAGTGATAGTGATTGTTTTAACCATTGCTGGAAATATTCTTGTCATCATGGCTGTGTCACTGGAGAAAAAACTACAGAATGCCACTAACTATTTTCTAATGTCACTTGCAATAGCTGATATGCTGCTGGGTTTCCTTGTCATGCCTGTGTCAATGTTAACCATACTGTACGGTGAGTATTAGCTGTGTAACCTACTGCATGTATTGAAAAGCTCTAAACATTGCATGCATATGTTGTTGTTGTTATTTCATTCTCTTACCACAAAAAAACTGTAATCATTCCATACAAATTGAAACATATATAATTGGTTTATGGATGTAAGAATAGGTGAAGTACTTGAATCTCTTCCTACTTTATATTTCTAGATACAGGCATTTTAAACACAGTCCAGAACATTAGTTTATTACTCACTTGCTGGATGAATTGTCTCAAAGTGTATATGAAGATGCTTTGTTCTCTCTATTCTTTCAGTTTTTCCCCCCGGCTTATAATTTTCAATATTCCTAATGAGAATGTAGGGTCCTGCCAGTTATTTTGCTCTGCAAATATGCACAAAAGCACTAATGACTACCTTTAGATTCAAAGCAGCCAACCCCTTTAATTTTTTTTTAATGAGGTAATATATTTGTAAATAATTTTCTTAATAACAATACCCTGCTTAGACATCTACTTATCAGCAAATGCTGGAATAAATATTGTGGGAGTTAAAAAATGGATGAGAATTAATTCTGCCTAATTTTTAGTAACATTTACAAATGCAAAGCTATGATTTCTTAAGAGAAGTTATTTAAGATTTAAGTGAATAATGACTCACGGTTCATACCCTTGTAGGTGATTAATAGCAGATCTTTCTTCTCTTTTTCACCAAAATCACTTGCAGCACAGCTCACATAGAAAAAAGCAGCAGCCTATGTGTTCAGCACCAATATTGTCAGGCTGTTATAAGCTCTAAACTTCGAAAAATGAGTTTTCCAGTGCCACAACTGAATTACTACTGTTCAAGGAGAAGCCAGACAATGCCAGGAGGAAAGTGAGGATGTTTGCAAAAATTTCTATTGCCTCACCATTTTGGGACTAAAGTATAAGCCTATGACTTAAGAGAAATTTCATATAGAAAACTGGAACTTTATTTCCCAGTTTCAGTATTCCTACTTTAGTAACATTTTCAGAATGTATTTGGCATCAGTGATGGTGTAACATTGTGATTTACTGTACTAGTGGTGCAATTACCTTTGGTGGGGGAGACATCGTAAAAGAGAGCTGTGGGAGCAGAAATTGTCCGATGTGTGAGATTAGCAAAACCCTTTTAAATCCTGCGTGGTTCCCTGAGACATGCAACAGGGACTCCTGCTGGCCAGGCTCTGCTGCTGAGGAAAGAGGTGCCCAAAATCTGTGGCTTGGGAGTAATTTGGAGGTCGGGGCGTGGGATTTCCTGCATGCAGAGGAGCCAAAACCCTTGTCACGGGGGGAAGGCTGCATCACCCTCCTTTGCAATCACCAGACTGTAAGAGCAGCAGGGCACCAAAAGCCACAGGGGAGGGAACGTGCAGGCTTTGCCTCCTCTCTCCCTGCTTTTTCCCTTGCAAGGTCAAGGAGGAGAGGCCTTTTCAGGGTAACTTTGGGTGAAAAATCATCTGGTGGTGCGCGCAGGTACCAGAAGAGCTGTCTTGACATGTTGCACCATCAACCTCCAGGATGACCAGTGATGGTGCAGAGGGAAAGCTCCCCTTACGCAGAAGCATTTGCTTGGCCTCAGCCGCCCTGGGAAAGGCCGGCACGCAGCCAGCATCAGCCACATCGGATATGTTGACAATCCTGAGCCCAAACTGGGGGCCTCTGCATCCGCCTCACTCTGCTGGGGTACCTCCGAGGCTCTGGAACAAGGCTGTTCCACAACACACCCCTCAGCCCCTTGAACGGGGATTGTGACCGTTTTGCTCAAAAGTGAGATTATTTCCTTCTCAAGAGCTTTACAGCCACTGTGGACAATTCCCATTCAAGTGTCCTGGCCTCACCAGCCACACGTTTGCCCAGCCTGTACCCTTTGGGCCAGGCAGGTTTCTCCATCCACCCAACACCACAACTCTCCACTAGAAAAAAAGACACTCGCCAAGGTGGACATGCCCACACAGCAGAAAATTCACAGAGCTGAACAGCAGTGTTGGTTTCTACCCAAACACTCATCGGGTGCCAGATGCCTGTTGCTTCTGCCTCAGAGACTTGCCCCATGCCAGCATGGAGAAGCTGTCAGGATTATTGGCAGGTGCTGTGTAACTCCCTGATGCAGTGGAAGGACCAGGCATTTCAAAGGGCTCCTGACCAGCTGGGTGCTGACCTTAGACATGGTCTTGGCTGATGTGCTTCTGACAAGGCAGGATGGTGTATCTGGCCTCCTCAGCAACAACCTGTGCCTGTGGGATCTGCAATACATCCTCTCCCTCTCCCTCTCCCTCTTCCTCTCCCTCTCCCTTTCCCTCTCCTTATTTCTCTCCCTCTCCCTCTCCTTCTTTCTCTCCCTCTCCCTCTCCCTCTCCCTCTCCCTCTCCCTCTCCCTCTCCCTCTCCCTCTCCCTCTCCCTCTCCCCCTCCCTCTCCCCCTCCCTTTCCTTGAAGTATTTCATCAGCCTTTCACTCAAAACAGTTTCCCTGGACCTCTTGTTATCAACAAACAGCAGCCCAGCCATCCTGTCCCATGTCACTTCTTTGCCTCCTCACCTGAAAGGTCTTGTGAGAAAGCATTTCTCATCTCCTGGATGCTACTAACTGACTACATCAGGAAGAAAATCTTACCTCATTTACTTGACTTCCTTCTCAACCTGAAAATCCACAGATGCACAAGCATCACTTGCCTGTCCCTTGGATAGGGCTCTCTGATATAAGCTCCTGGACTACATGAGCTCTCATGGACCACATGAAATCCTGGACCTTGTAAAATGTTCCCTGCCTATCCAATCTTTAAATTGCAGCCATGGTTGTTTTGTTTTATTTCCCCTTGGATATGTGGAGGTGTGAATCGGACAGTGGCCAGAGCACAGCACAAGACATAGCTGCCCTGCACCGTGTACCACATAAAATGTCCCAAGGCCTGCCTGGGGACTCTTACTGCATCTATAGTTGGCTCCTCTCATGTACTTTTCCCTTCCTTGGCCCTGTAATCTCCAAGGTACCTTATGTGTTGGATATTGTTTTATCCCTGCCCATCCAGGTTTAGAGCAAGGACAAGAGATATAGAAGGATATGACAAACGTGTTCACAAAGGCCACTAAAGCAGGAGAACAGGTGCACGTTGTCAAGTGTGAAAATACTTTATCACTTTTCCCTGTGTAAACTATCCTGGCCTGACAGAGAGATGTTACTGCGAAGACATGTCCCTGAAAGCCAGCCGTCATGTAGCACACCCCAGAGACCAGATTCCTCATTGGAAGACCAGAAAACAAGATAAAACATATCCATAAATGTTGTATGGCTTGTCAGGGTCAGCTCATATTACAGCAGTTCAAGAGCACCAAGAAATAGGTCTCCTCAGTGCTTACTGAGACTAAATTTAATTAGGCACAGACCTAGCTCCTCTGCCTCTCCCTCTGTTCCTGTTGTTGAAAATCTTGTACTATGTCTCCAAAGCAGACTGGCACTCCCCAAAATACTGACGTATTCTCACAATACCATCTTTGACATTGTCTCATGCCACATTGTGATGGGCAGCTTGGGTAATATGCTCTAAATTAAATCACCACAAGATAAGGGCATGGATAACTGCAAAACTTGCTCCAAGAAGAGTTATTAGTGGTTCCCTGCAGGACTAGAAGGGCCTTTGAATGGGGGTTCTGCAGGGCTCTACTTAGCCTGAGTCTGCTCAGCACTGCTCCTAACAACTTGGACGGTGTATAGAGTGTGAGCTTACACAGCTTTCCAAAAGCACCAAGCTGGGAGAGGTTACAAGTGCTCAGAGGGACAGGATCAGAATCATCAACAGTCATCTGGACCCCTGAAGAGTAAGTCTGAAATGAACAAATAACATTCAGTGAGGATAAATGCAAAGATATCAACTTAGGAAAAAGATAGCAAACCAACTACTGCTGGGAAAATTTGTCCAGACTTCAAGAATGCTGAACAAGATCTGGCTGTCAAAATGGATCATAAGCTAAGCATGCGTCACTAGTATGATGTTTTTATACAAAAGACACTCATTATTCCAGGTTGTGTAAGTAAAGACATTTCCTGCAAGACCTGTGAAGCAATCCTGTACTTCACTGAGCAGTCAGGAGATCTTTGTATGAGTAGTGTTTTGGTCACTGAATGATAAGCAAGATGTGAATAAATTAAATAGCTTCCAAGGCAGAGAATTAGGAAGCACAGAAGTTTAAAAAGCATCATCTGTAAGCAAAAGATAAAGGAATTGGCTTTGCTTAGTCTAGAAGAGAAAAAAAACAAACTAGTCAAGACATGATAGCCATCTTCCAATAGTTTCCAGAAAGGACAGCAATCAATTATTCTTCATGGCTAGTGAAAAGAATAAGTTAAAAGGGAAGGCTTAATTTGCAGCAAAGAAGATATAAGTTCCATATTGGTAAACACTAATACATTTGCTTTGGATTGCTCTCTCTGGAAGAGCCTATCAGTATTAATTGATATAGAGAATATCCTTATTTAAGTATGTGGTAGGTACCTAAAGACAAGTGAGATAAGTATCACTGGTATGCAACAAAATACATTTCTTTCTTCAGTTGCCACTAAATCTAAAGTTTCAATTTCAGAATTTAGGTGGCTTTGCATATCAGCAGGTGTTAATAACACAGTAATTATGTGAATAAAAAGTCCTACAACAAAATTGAGAACTTGCAGGTTTACAATGACAAACCTGTTTCTCTTTCCATAGATTTGCTGCCAGAAATGGTTAATTATAACATCAAACACTAGCATTATGCAAATAGAATTAAAAAGAAAAAAACACACGCAGCTTGTATGTAGCAGCTGTGTAGCCTGGGAAAGAAGCAGAGTTAATCCCAAAAGCTACAGAGTTAGAAGGTTACAAGTAAATAAAATAGGTTTTTTGAAACAGTGTCAGGCAGCTTTTATTGAAGGCATCATGAAGGATATATGCACTAGGACGTATGTGTCACAACAAAAGATGTGAGTATGTCATGTTCTTAGCTGATGTCAACTTTCTCTTGTACAGGGTACACATGGCCTCTACCTACAAAGCTCTGTGCCATTTGGATCTACTTGGACGTGCTTTTCTCCACTGCCTCCATCATGCACCTCTGTGCCATCTCACTGGATCGCTATATTGCCATTCGAAACCCCATTCATCACAGCCGGTTTAACTCAAGAACTAAGGCTTTTGCAAAAATAATTGCTGTTTGGACCATATCAGTTGGTAAGTGAGGCAATATTTCAGCATGTAATTGCAGATTTCTAGCTTTTGAGAGGATTTGACATACATATTGCTGTCTAAAACTGTATTTTCTGCCTGCAATATTTTGCTTGCATCAGTCTAAAAAATGCTGTAATGTAGTAATTATTCAATGGAAATCAACAATGACAATGGGAAACGGAGGAGAACTAAGCAGCACTGTCACCGAAAGAATATACATCAGTGATAGGACTACTGGCTTCAAGTTTGTTTTAAAGATGTCTGTATTTCCGAAATTGATTATCCATCATTACCCTAACATCTGGAAAGAAAAAATTACCTCAACTGAAAGAAACATTTCCTCATTTTATGTAAGTCAGTTGTTCCCAACTTCTTATTAGGGTAATTTGCTTAGAGATGTTTTCTGCCTTTCTTGGTGCGTAGGGTAGGGTATTTATGCATCCTATTTAGGAGACATTAGATACTCTGTGTACGCCATAAATGCGAGAAGTTTCCCCACAGGACAGTTCAGAGTTGCAGCCTAAAATAGGTGCCCTGAATGACTCCCTAGATGAATCTCTCTTTGCACCAGCAAAACCCAGAGGCATGAAACTAGGCACAGTAGTGCTACTTTTCCATTCCTGTGGTGGCAGCACCCTTAGTCCAGAGAAGTTTCACAGTGAGAGAGGTAGAAAGAGCTTGGTGTCTTGAGGCCATCAGGGATTTCCTCACACATCTGGGGTGGTGGTTCTCAAACATGTTGAAAACACAGTTCCCTTTCAGCTCATCTGATTTTGTAGAACCCCCTGAGTATTAGCAGCTCACTTATTCAGAAGTGGAAAAAAGTCATTCTCTTGCTCTGGAAGAAATGAGTGTTGCCAGCAATCAAAGGTAATTAGTTGCTTCCCTGACTAATACAAATTATTGCAAGTGGTAACTGTAATCCATTACCATCCTTCCGAGGGGATGGAAAGCAGATGATGTCTAACACTGCTGCTGGCCTGCAGCTCTGAATCGTCTCCTGGCCTCCCTCTTGATGCTGGCCCAGAGTCTGAGAAAAAGCAGTCTAGGATTTTTATGACTTAAAGTAGCCATATCTTCTGCTGCACAGCAAGAAATAGTGGGAGCCCTCTCTCAAGAGAAGAACAGTTCTGCATTCTCCAAGGCCTGGTGAGGTTCAACAGCATCATGTATGGCTCTGGGGTGCATTCAGATAACCAGGTGTATATGTCTCACACAGGCCAGGTAAACTCCACCCTAAAAATACCTAGCTCTCAACTATAAAGGAAGCCTAAAGCAACTCAGATGTCTTCATTTAGACTATACGACTCATACTTTATTCCCTTACAGTCACTTTTTTTTTTTTTTTATCAATACATTAAAATACATATTACTTACGCTGTCCGGTTTTCCCAATCTTGGACACTGCTAAGTGCAAGCATTTCTGGTGCATTCTCCATATAACATAAAAAAGTCAAGCATTCCTTAAATTTCTACACACTGTGTTTGTCTGCATTTGTGTGTGATGCCTGTACTTAGTGTGTGTGAAATTAGTGTCCTTTTTAAACACAAATATATTCACAAAACTATCAGAATGACCATTCCAGGGGCAAACCAGTGGTCCACATTGCTTAGCACCTTTCCTAGTCAGTGGCTCACTGCCAGAGTATCTGAATTTGCTCACTATTAAAATGAATCCAGAAAAAAAAAATATTTAAACCCTATTAGTTAAAACGTGGTTTATGTCCTGTAGCAAGAGGGTTTAGTTCTTTGATATCTCGATATTTAATTTCAAAAGTTAGGACTATTCTTTGTGGTAATAACTGATAACAACTTACCCATTGTAAAAACACCTTTTCTGCTTTCTAGAGAATTTTCTTTTAACCATGACCAGATAAGCCACAGATGTTATTTGTTATTGCTATGGCAGGTGATAGCAACAAGGTCCCTATTTATATAACTCTGAAAAATACAACTCCTTATTTAATTGGAAAACGCTGAAGTGTGGCAGGAGTGAAGAGGACAGAGTTCTGCTTTGCTGCAGCTGGATAAGGACACATGTAAGGGAATGGTGGATGTTAGGAAAATAACTTGGTTGATAGGGTAAGCTCCATCTCATTCACACATCACATGTCATCAAAATAGCAAGTAGGTTAAATAGATACCAATGAATTCAGGCAAGCGCACTGAAATGTGCAAGAATGAAGTGGTGCTGAGCTCTTTTGCTAGTCCCATGATAGCAAGGGCCTTGGGCAAATGAGCCAAAGGAAAATGAGTCCATTCCCAGCCTGGCAACTGTCATGAATGAGCTCTGGCAAATGTGATATGCTCCAGAGGACAGACAGGGAAGCAAGCACACAGCAAGCTATAAAGAAGCTGCCTGAGCTAGTCACTGCCAGGCTGGACTGAGTTTGCACCATGGCATATTGCTATACTAGTAGAACAAATTAAAATGCCAGTATTATAAGAAATCTTGATAGTTCCAAGATCACCCATGCAACTTGCTGTCAGTCGGTTGTTGACCCCATCCTCCTGATCTGCCACGATCCAACTCAGAATTGATAGGAAATGGTTTCTGAAGAATGAGGTGCTTTCTATAGCATTTACTAATAGGAAATGGTTTCTGAAAAAAAGAGGTGCTCTGTGTATCATTTACCACTCTCCAGGCTCTCAGTGCTACTTAGAGTGGCAGGGCTATAAATTATTTAATTCTTTGCATTTTTACATAGCTACAGCTAGCACAGACAGAGCCGGTGTCAGGCAGTGGGCTCTCTGCAGTGTATGGTGTGGGTGCCATCTCACTGATAACTTTGGAGAGGCAGGAGTTTCCCGAGGTTTTGTCCTCCAGCCTCAGTTAGACATCCTTTGGCTTCCCCTTGCTCCTGCAGTTTGCAGCTGAGCTGGTACCCTGTGAACTTTCATGATGTACCAGACGGAGGGTAAAAAGCAAGAGAAAGAAATGAAAGATGTCATATTCCCCTGTGTAAAGGCTCATTTTAACCAGGGAAGAGGGGGGAACCTGCCGATCAGAGACCCTGAATAGCTCTCTCACTGTCAAAATCCTTAGTCCATCCTCTCACATAGCCCCTTTGAATGATTGCTTTAGCAGGCTGAGTCCCAATCTATGTAGACTCTGTTTGTGTGGCAGTATTGCATGCCCAGGTCATCTTTGTACCCTTCTCTGAATCTTTTCTAGTCCTTCTACATCCTCTTGGAGACATAAGTGGACAGACCACAATATTCAAGACATGGACACGCCATGAATTCACGTGGTGTAGTAATGGTTTCTGCCTTATGCTCAATTCCCACCTTAATAAGCCCTACCTTTCTTTCAGTCTTTAGGACCATCCCTGCACACAGAGCTCAGTGACTCCAAAATCATGGAATCACATAATGGTTTGGGTTGGAAGGGACTGTTAAAGATCATCTAGTCCAAGCCCCCTGCCATGGGCAGGGACGTCTATCAGTAAATCAGGCTGCTCAAAGTCCCATCCGACTTGACCTTGAACACTTCCAACGATGGGGCATCCACAACTTCTCTGGGCAACTTGTGCCAGTGTCTCACCACCCTCAGAGTGAAAAAATTTCTTCCTTATGTCCAGTCTAAATCTACCCTCTTCCAGTTTAAAGCTCTTGCCCCTTGTCCTGTCACTCCGGGCCCTGGAAAAAAGTTTTTCTCCATCTTTCTTATAAGCCCCCGCTTATACATTGAAAGGCTTCAATAAGGTCTCCCTGGAGCCTTCTCTTCCATAGGCTAAACCACAACTATTTCAGTCCTTCTTCATAGGGGGGTTGTTCCAGCCCTCTGACCATTTTCATGGCCCTCTTCTCTTTCCTGAGTAACAACAAATAGTTTTGCCTATTTAGATAGGGTTCCCCCTCAACTAATGTACAACCCTTTGCTTCTTAGCACAGAATTTTGTCTGCTACTTTGCTGTCCATTAGCTGAGATTTATGAGGGCCTTCTGCAATTCTGTACAGCCAACAGCTGCCTGTCACCAGCACTTCTACTCAGTTCCAGTGTCCACACAGACAGGTCACGGGTGGGCTGAACAGCACTCATGGACACAGAGGGCTGTTGGACACTACCTTCTACTGCCCACGCAGTGGAAACAAACCATTTAATCCTATCCCTTGTTTTCTGTCTTTCAACCCATCCTTTTCCTACAAGAGAACATTTCTTCTTCTGCCATTAGAGTTTAATTTCTTTAACAGCATCTGACAAAACAGTGTTGTCAGAGCTTTCTGGAAATCCACGAATGTTATATCAGCTGGATCACCCTTATCCACCTGCTGACTGACTCCTGAAAATATATCTAACTGGTTTGTGGGGCATGGCTTCTAGCTGATTTGTGGGGTATGCAGAAGTTTTCCTAGTGCTTCTCAATTTGCCCACGTCTCTTTCACTATGACTTCTAATTTACCTAACTAATAACACTTTCAGTCACTAAATTAGTAATTTTTCTGTTATTCACTAAATTCACAAATGTATTCAGTGAATTTGATCCAAAGACCAATCAATTATTGGTCTTCCTTCCATTGGCTTCAGTGATATATAAAGTATTTAAAAACAGAATAAAAAAAAAATTATTTACTTCTGATATCTTGACTTTCCTAGTTAAAAAAAATATTATACTTACATTTGGGTTTGCATTTAGTGGAAGAAGAGGATTTAGCCATCAGCCTTTCTTTCACTAGACCATGTAATGCCACAGGCAATTGGTTTAAAATGGATTCTAATTACTGTAACAGATTCTAATCGTGTCTTTAATTCTTAAATCACCCGGTACCCAGAGTGGCTAGATAATTAGATTATTTGTAGCTGTTGAAGGCAAAAGCCCATTAAGCCCTGAAAATTATTCCATTTGTTTTAAAGCACAGAGGTCATTACTGAGAACAGGTGTAAAAAGCCTAAGCATTTCCCCTTCCTAGAAAAATTAGAGTTGAATTTTGAATAGTGTTTAACTGGAATATATAGAATTGTAAACAGCCTATGCTGAAAAATACAGGTAATGCACCTTTGA